AAAAAAAGTTAAGTGTTTAGTCAAGATAGTGACAGCTGCCTATAAACCCAGCTACTCAGGAGGCTGAGGCAGGAAGGTCAGCAATTCACCAAGACTGTCTCAAAATAAAAGGGGGGGGGTTGGTTAGGCAGGGCTGGGGATGTAACTCAGTGGCAGAAACACTTGTCGAGCAGCACATGGAAGAGCCTAGATCCAATTCCCAGTTCACTCACACACACCCCCAAACAATGGCAAGGGCACTGCCTGGCTGGGCAAGTCCTGGCAGCCTACTCTCTACCACTTCTGAAAGAAACACAGGGTGGAAGGCTGTGAGTCTCTGGCTCCCACTATCACACGCCATTTGTGATGACAAGAGCTGATTTGGGACTGAGGCGCAGAGTCCCTGGAGGTAAGTGGCCAACTCTGCCTCACACTGCCCTGTAGTCCAAGATACACACTCATCGTGAAGCCAGCTTGGGGTGGGGGGTCCTCCCTGCCACAGCTCTTTTGCAATCTGCAATAATGGTGATCAAACCCAGGAGTGTTCTACCACTAAGCCATATCCTGACCTTTCTTCTTTTTTTATTTTGAGGCAAGGTCCTGCTAAATTGCTCAGGTCTCCAACTTACAATCCTCCTGCCTCAACTTTGAAATGCTGGGACTATAGGCATACACCGCATGCCAGCTCCTACCACACCTCTTAATGAAGTGGATCACTCCTAGAATTCATCGTTTCCTACTAAAACCCTGACCTCTTGTGGGCAAGCACTCCTTTAAAGTATAATATCTAAAGCACAAAGTGTTCACCATTACCTGTGAATTTTAGGACATTCATAAAGTGGATTTTTATAATGAACTAAAAGCAGAGAAAATGTGTCCAAGGTGAAGAGGAGCAAACAGTCACTAGTGAACACAAATGAAAGGCCCGCCAAGCACCCTGCCCAGCAACAGTGCCACTCCATACAAAGGCAGGACACATTTTACAAGTCAGTGCTAAAGTGACAAGCCAATGATAACCACAAATTTTTCAATCTGATCAAATGCACTGGATCCAATGTTAAAACACAGTTTACTTTTGTAAAGGCATGTCACCTCAGAGTCACTATTACAATCGGGAATGAGGGCCAGGCAGTTTAGCCCAGTGGCTCAGCACCTGCCTGGCAAGCCCAAGGTCCTGAATTCAATTCCACTATCCCACGCCCAAAATACAGGCATGATAGTGCATGCCTGTACACACAGCACTCGGGAAAGCTGGTTCCAGCCCCAGAACTACAAACAATAACATTAGTAGCATTCCCCATTAACAATTTCCTCGTTAGAGGCCAGGACAATAGCTCAATGGGAGAGCACTCACCTAGCATGAAAGAAAGACAAGCAAATTACCCTCGGATTACATGCCGTCATTTCGGCACGTATGAACTATGCTACTGCAAATCAACTTAGGATAAAGCTGGCACAACACATACTTCAGAAAACACAGAAGGACATGTCTCTGTTTGAGACAGGTGAGGCCAACCACGCCTGCCACTGTGCTCCTCTGGCTAGGAGACCACAAAGAACATCGAGCAGTGAGCAGAGGCAGGTGGGCCACAGGGGTACTCACACACTGTACAGAGAAACAAGGTAAGTGGCCCTTTGCCAGTCTAGGATAGAACCTGCCCAGAGGCCAGGACAGCCAGGCTCCCTGGCCACTCGTCAGGGCAGGAGGTAGCAAGGAAAGCTCCACTCCGCCCTGGCCTGGACACCGCCTGTGGGGACCACACAGGAATCGAAGGTGAGGGCCTGCTGTGGCTTTTGTTTTTAACTCCAAATCATGAAACCTCTTTCTGGTGAACAGAAATGTTTTTGTCCCTGTACCGCGCCATGCTCCATGAGCTGGTGGAGGTCTGCATTAGATGCAAATCGCTGTCAGCACTTAGGACCAGGCCACCCCACCTGCGCTGTCCACACAGGATGCCAAGTCATGGGCACTCTGCTCTAGCTGTCCCACACATAGGGTCACCTAGGGATCTGCAGATAAGCAAAACCTGACCTAAACTGGAATCAATTTTATCCATTCACATACCTTTACTATGCATAGTGGAAGAGAAAAGCTTTCTTAACGAGACTGTCGGTTTTTTAGTTTTGTTTTGTATTTAGGGCAGGGTCTACGGGACGGTGTCTCACTGCATAGATCAGACTCAGAGTGATTCTCCTGTTTACACCCTCCCAAGTGCTGGGATTATAGGCACGCGCCAACACACCCAGTCTCAGCAATCCCCAGGGGCAGGGCCAGCACAGCAGGCCCAGGGATCAAGCTCAGGGGCCCTGTGTCTGCCTAAGCATGCGCTTTAATCCACTGAGCTATTTGGCCAGCCCAGTGTTTGTTTATTTTTATATATATTTTTTGTGGTACTGGGGATCGAACTTGTGCTTTCCAGGTAGGCACTTATGTAGCTGAGCTATACCCCAGCTCTCTGATGAGTTTTATGTGTACCTCTTTGTCCAAATTCTGGTAAAATAACACCAGGTGTGATGGTGCAGAACTCAGGAGGCTGAAGCCGGAGGAACACTATGAATTTGAGGCCAACCTAGGCTACCTAGTGAGTTCAAGGCCAGCCTGAACAGCATAGTGAGACCCTGTTTAGATAGATACACAGATATAGATAGATAGATAGATAAAATTCTCCAAAAAGAAAAAAGAAGCACTCACTGCCCAGTCAGGGAAGGCACTGGAGCACTGGTCTGTGGCAAGCAAGGCACGCAAAGCCTAGGCTCAACCCTGGCGCGAAACACTACCACGGCAGGAGGAAATATAACGCAGTCCCAGTCACTCCCTCAGTTCCACATTACTCCTGACTTCTTGTGTCTTGTAAAGAAATTGCGGGCAAGGTGTCACAGTCCTGTAATGTCAGCACTCTGGGAGGTAGAAGCACAAGGTTCATGAGTTTGAGGCCAGCCTAGAAAACTAAGCAAGATCCTTTTCCAAATAAAAATGAGCTGAAATATAGCTCTGTTAGGGGAAAAAAAAAAAAAAAAAAGGTAGCCTCAGCAAGTTTGTGCTTATATCCCACCAAACAGTCCAAGGACTGTCCAAAATATGGCCCCATGACGTTTGCTGACTCAAAGAGCACTTCAAAGAGGCTCAGTGCTATCACCAACAAGGCAGAGCTAGACATCAAGACCTATATGAGTATCAGAAGTCTAAGTTCTGTGACTATCAAACATGTCCTTTTCATTAGTCCCACCCAAAAAGCTTTCCAAATGTATGTGACAAAAGTGTACCAAAAACTGACCAACTTGTTCAAATGCTTGCTCAAGCTGATTTTTAAAAATAACGTGTGTGGGGAAAATAATAAGTGGGAGAAGCTTGAGGACAAGCTTTATGTCCTGGGTGTTACCGCAGACAGACTTGACCTACAAAATGAAGATAGGGTCAACTGTAACCAAAAAACAGTATGCTTCCCCTGGCGGCCAACTCCGGAATGGAGCAACCAGCACGGAAGAGAAAGCCTGGCCTCGGTTCCATCCTGTCACTCACAAATGAGAAGTGACGACCAAAAAAGGAAGGTGTGGGGGAAGGGGAAAGTAGCAAAAATACTGACACGGGTTTAACAGAAATACCAATCTGGGAGTAAGGCTATGTAAATATGACTCTGAAGCTAACAAACCAAAATTTAGAGGGCAAATCTGGGAAAAGTCATTTCTTTCTAGAGTGCCCTCGCCGGGGAATCTTTCTGTATTTTCACCTTTAAGTACACCCAGAATTTAGTACTTAATAACAGCTTGAGAGCAACCTCTTTTTTCGAGTATCAAATCCTTGCAATTTTCTGCAGTCTTGTTTCCAAGGAAAAGCATTTAATTTTTCAAACAAACTAGCGATCTAACCTACTTAGAGAACCTCCAGTTCTAAAGCCCTCCAAGCAGGAGGACCTTTCACTCCATCTTTACAAGAAGACTCTTTTGACTGTTAATTCCTGAAACAAAACCCACGTCCTTTCAAACGTTTTCTATACCAACAACCTTTCAAGTCTAGTCTCATACAGAGAAGAGTTAGAATCTCAAGCATTAAAATCTGATGCATTCCTTTGTCTGTTAGATTTTTTTTTCTTCTTCTTCTTATACCACTTTAAATTTGCTTCCACACAGAACAGCAGAGGCAAGGGAAGTACATGCTCCATTCCGAGCACAGGCTTTCTGGGAGGTGGAAATCACTGGCTAGTCAAGTCTTCTGACCGTTCTATTCTTTCACGACCTCCACCCCACCCCCACTCCGCAAAGAGAAAAAAGAAACACACACTTTTACATATAGGTCCTAAAATCATACTACTACGTGCGAGCCTCTCCTCACCAGTCAGGCGCCCCCTGATTTTGGGGGTCAACCACTGGTCCCCAGGATGGTGGGAGTGCAAGGGGCAGCGCCGGGACCCGAGGCTGGGGTCTCTGTCCCCCTCGATCCTGGCCCTCCAAGATCCCGACGACGGGCACTGCCACCTCCAGGCTGGCTCCCACCTGGGGGCGCATCTCACCTGGACGCGGGCACCCCCAGGTGCGACTGCCTCCGGGGCTGGAGCGCGAGGAAAGGGGCTGGGAAAGGAGCAGTAGATCGGACTCGAAGGGGGCCAGCAGGGGCCCCGGGGCGTGCGAAGCACGCGTGTGCGAGCGCACGTCCCCTCGCCCCCAGCCGCGTGCCCCGCGGACCCCGGAGCCGCCTCGCAGAAAAACAAAGTTGTGTCGAGGTCCCGCGCCGCGAGCCAGCCACCGCTACTCACCGGGATCGAAGTCAGGCACCGACGCCTGGTACTGGGGTCCCACCCGCATGCCGCCGCCACCTGCGGGGAACAAGACGCCGTCAGGGAGCCGGGCCAAAGCTGGGGGCTGGCGTCTGGGGTCGGGGTCGGGGTCTGGGGCCGGGGTCTGCGTCTGGGGCCGGGACCGGGGCCGGAGCCGCACCTACCATGTTCCTCGTCGCTCGACGAGCCCGAGCTGCCTTCCTCCCAGGAGTTGCTGCCGCTGTTGCCATTGGGCGCCGCCGCCGCCGCCAAACTTTTATTCTGACCATTATTGGGGGCGGCGGCGGCCGCGGCGGACGAGGCGACGGCGGCCGAGGCGGCGGCGGCCGAAGCGGCGGCCGAGGCGGAGGCAGCCGAGGCGGAGGCGGACGCGGTGTTCCTCCCGCGCCGCTTCCCCGACACCTCGGGGCCCTTCTCCACCATGGCCGGCATCGGCGGGGCCCGGGGCCGGGCCAAGGCTGCGGGGACCCCGGCTCCCAAGGAGCGGGCGCCGCGAGAGGGCAGGGGACGCAGCGGACGCGGGGCTGGGATCTCGGACGCCCAGCAGCGTGGCTGGGGCCGCAGGAGGCCCGGGAGAGGGGAGCAAGGAGCCGCCTCAAGCCCGAAGCGCCGAACCCGGAGCAACTTTGGCTCTCATCGCCGCCTGCACTTCGCTGGTTCTAACTACTCCGGGAGCCGCGGGCGGGGGGGGCGGGGCCTGAGGGCGAGGGGCGGGCCGAGTGCAGCCTAACTTGGCGGGTGTAGGCTCCGCCCCCTCACGCTCCCATTGAATCGCGGGGGATTTGGATGGCGAGCGGCAGCAGGGTTGGCTGCGGCACGCGTCCGTCAGGGGGTCCGGGGCGGGAGCGCGGGGAGGGGGAGGCCCCGCGCTTCCGTTGGTCGGGTTGGGTTGACGCGTATCGCCCACCGTACGTGGTTTGAGGTTTGCGATCGCTCTACGCCCCATGATCCATCTCTCGAGGCGACGGCGAGGACTTCGCCGCCCTCGCGCCCCTCCCCCTCGGCCCCCGTCTGCCTGCCTGCCTGCCTGCCGGTGCACGCCCCGTTGCCGCGAGCCCAGTCCCCCCGAGGGATCCCGCAGGGCGCCCTATCGGCTTCCCCGCGCGCCGGGTTTGCGACGCAAGGGCGATTCCCGGCGAGGTCGGGACTACTTTCCCGCACGCGGAGGATTACAGCCTGTTTGAATGGGCTGGATACAAAGAGAGAAACTAATTGGAGAAACTAATTGCGCCCCCGCCTTTCCCAGGGGACCCAAGGGTGCGCGGCGCCCGGGAGCTGCGAGGACTGGGCGCCCAAGGGACCAGGGAAGGTGGGCGGTTGGGCTTGCTGAGGGTGGCGGGGTCCCCGGGGTCCTGAGGAATGGGGGAGCAGAGAGGAAGGGGCCGCCTTCCGGGATCCCGCGGTGGAACCGGGTGCGCCCCTCCGGCGGGTCCTGGACTCTGCAAGAGTGGGGGCCCGGGGACGGAGCGACGCAGCCCTGGGGACACGGCGACAGCTGCCTGGGGGGCTGGGCGGAGCTCCACCCGGCTGTCCGGGAGCCCCTGGGTTGGACCTTTGGGAAATCGTTTCTTTTTCTTTTACCTTTCTTTTTTTTTCTTTTTCTTTCTTTTCTTTCTTTCTTTCTTTCTTTTTTTTTTTTTTAGGTTATTTCAAACCTGAGCTTCTTATAGGGACAGTTTACACCCGCTCACGCTATAAATAGCTATAAAGAAAAATCGGGAGTTTATGGTTTCAAAGCCTGACTAAATAGTCGGGTTTTCTCTTCCACGTTTTTTCTGCAGCACAAAACCGTCGTTATTAACTTCACTAAGTGACATGCTCGCTTCTGCCTCAGTCTAAGCTTAAGACCAAGGAGAGGAGCCCTGTTCCCACCAAGCTCAGGGGTTCTCCTCGGTTCCCCTCCGAAGGGCACCCCATCTCTAGGGACCCCAGCTGTGTGCGCCCTGCGATGCCGCCAGCCACCTGGGCCACTCTCAAGAGTGAGAGCTGGGGAGGGGGCAAATGGAGGCCACTGACTCAGGGAGGACAGCCCCGCCTGTGTTGTGCCTGTCTCCAAGATCTACCCCGACCAGAGATGGACCCATAAGAGCAGGAACGGGCAGGCCCCCCGCCCTCCCGCCCCCCACTCTTGGTGCAGGGACCTCAGGGGTACTTCCTGATAGGTGCAGACTGTAGGTACCTCACTGGACTAACTCACCTCCCTCCCTCTCCTTTTTTTTCCTTCCTCCCTCTCTTTTCTTTCTTCTAACCTCCTTTCCTTCCTTCCCTCCTGCTCCCCACTCGCCAGTGGTGCTGGGGATGAATCCGGACCTCGTTCCTGCTCTCCCGGCAAGCTCCAGTCTCAGACCCCAATCTTTTCTTTGTTATTTGTTTGTTTTGGCAGAACGAGGGATTGAACTCAGGCCCTTGTGCTTGCCAGGCAAGCGCTTATTCTACTGAGCTATCTTCCCTGGCCCCAAAACATCTTTTTTTTTTTTTTTTTTTTCAATACCAGGGATTGAACTCAACACCCTGGGCTTGCCAGGCAGACACTTATTCTACTGAGCTATCTCCCTTATCTTTCTTTGAACAAATGCACACCTAACAAGCGGCATACCCAGCTCTAGTTAGCCGCAGGATGGGCCGGATGGGTAGATTCCCTATTAGCCTGCTAACTTGCAGCTTCCTCTGCCATGAGCCACAGAAAATGGCCCCACTACCTGACCCTGTGGACTTTGTAGAGTCCACCTCCCAGAGGGTCTCTTCCTCTGTCACTGAGAACCCCACCCAGAGGAAGCCCTCTTTCCTACACTGCCCTTTGTGTGTGTGTGTTGTGTCTGTGTTGAGACAGGCTCTAAATTGCCCAGTGTTGCTCCAAACTCAAAATCCTGGTTCAGCATCCCCAAGAACTGGGAGGAGCAATTGTCATTACTCTGGCCACTGGCAACACCGTGACAAACTCCCGCTCCACTTTCCATCTTCTCTCCTTGCTCCTGCGGCAGCCCCTTCACCCCTGCTTCCTGCCCGTGGCTGCCCCTCATTTCACCCCTCCCTGCGTGACACATCTCCCAGTCTGGCATCTACCTTCAAAGCCCTGCCCCCCAGCTGCCTGTGTGCTGATACTGGGTCTGTGTTTTCCCGGGCTCCCAGAGACCCATCTACACTGCTTCTCCCTCCCAAGTTTCCTCCCAAGGCTCCTCACCTCTGCTCTTGCTGGGCTCACACACACACACACACACACACACACACACACACACCCTGTGACCCATCCAGCTGAAGTGTCTCAAGCCTATCAGCAGCGCCTGAGTAGGCCACCAGTAACTCCCTCCCCTACCCAGCCCCCAAGACCCTGTCCATCCTGTCCCCCATCACCAAATGCCCCTTCAAATCTCCACCCTTCTTTTTTTTTTTTTTTCTCCACCCTTCTTGACCCCTTGTGGTTGCCGGGATCCTGCCCAAAGTTGGTGCTCGAGAGGTTGTTGAGTGAGGAGTGATAGGGCAGCTGGGCAAGGATAGGTGGGTGGGTGAGAGGATGGATGGGTAGGTGGGTGGGTGGACTGGCAGGTGAAGGAGTAGGTGGACAGGTGGGTGGAAGGGCAAGTGAGTGGGGGTGGGGGGTGGGAGGAAGCCAGGAAATCTAGGCTGCTGTGAGCGCCTAGCAGGAGCGCGGGGCAGGGTCCCTGGAGCAAATGAGGTCCAAGAACGGAGACACTGAACAAGCTGTGTAAGAAGGAGGTACGGCTTGTCAGCTAGTGCCCTCCCCAGTGGCCGCTCCAGCAGGCTGGCTCCTGACAGGTGCATAGCCAGGCTCCTCTGCGGGGCAGTGGGCAGGCCTGTCAAGGCCCTTTGGAAAACTCTGAAAGTCTGTTTCTTTCAGAGCCTAGGGCTAGGACTGGGAGGGCCTAGCGCCCCCAGAGCAGGGACAGTGCACTGGGCTCTCAGAATTGTGAGCACCTACTCCCTACCCGAGGAGAAGAAAGTTGGGGAGCAGGAGGGTGGGCCTGGCTCGGAGTAGATGCTTGGAGTTTCTGTGAGTGCTGGCGAGTCCCAGCTGGTACAGATGACTTCAGCCAGGGCCAGGGCAGCAGCAGAGGACAGCAGCTCCCCCTCCAGAGAAGGCCTCATGAGTCCTGAGGCAACGGGAATTTGGGGCCTTTGGACCAGTAGGTACTCCACCACTGAGCTACATCTTGGCCATTTTGAAAAATTGTGTATTTATTTGCCTGTGGCAGTACTGGATCCTGAACCCAGGGCCTTAGCATGCATTACATCCTGTCTCAGTTACTTTCTTTTGTTGCTGGGACAAAATACCCGATACCCAGCATTAGGGAAATAAATTATTTTACTCAGGTTTGCTGAATTGTCCATGGAGAGTCCAAACGAGACATCTTCCTGCCTTAGCCTTACAAATTGCTGGGATTATGAGTGTGTGTGCCACCATACCCAGCCCCTCCAACCCCGATTTTTTTTTTTTTTTTTTTTTAGATGAGTCTCACTAAGTTGTCCAGGCAGGACTCAAACTTGCAGTCCTCCTGCCTCAACACACCACCAAGGGGCTGGTGTCACAGGAGTGCGTAGTATAGTAGGAGCTCAGCTGTGCACTGGGTCTGCCCTTGGCAACAATCCCACTGCATGTGCAAGTATACCAGGCTCCCAGCATGCGCCTCAGGAAACCAAGGCACCTGGGGTGACCTGACCTCCCTGGATCAGAGCCCATCCAGCCCCGAGTGGCCTGCTCCACCCAAGCAGCTCCCAGGAATGCTGGAAGCAAGGGATGTGCACAAAGGCCCTGTCTGCTTCTAAGTATCCAGCGTTAATAATTTGTGCTACTCCCATTATTATTACGGTGATGATTTTAGATAGATTGCTAGCAAATTCATCGTGCCAGGCACGGTGGTGCGGGTCTATAATTCCAGCACACTGGGAGGCTGGGGCAGGAGGATCCCAAATCCCATTTCAGCCTGAGCAATTTAGCAACTTCATGAGACACGTCTCCAATAAATAAATACATAATAAATAAATAAATAAATCTGGGGTTGTACCTTAGGGCAAAATCCTGGGCTCAATTCCCACTGTGTTGCCCCCACCCCTCCGAAAAAGAAAAGAAAAAAAATTCTGTCCTTGAGAAGGAATACTCCAAGACAAAAGAAGAGAAAAGGAGGGCCGGGGCTGAGGGCAGCAGGGACACAGAGCCTTGAGGTCAATCCTGGGAGGGTCAAAGCTCTGAAGACGCTTCAAAACCTGAGACTTGAACAAAGCTGTCAGATCCTGGGAGTCTTTGAAGTGGGGTTCAGCGGTGGAATTCAGGGGACTGTGAACTTGGGAGGAGCTTTCTTCAAATTATCTGCCAGCTGAAATCTAGCATGGAATGTAGAGGCATTCGCATTGCCTGCGACTGTCACCTCCCACTCTGCCCTCATGACACAGGTGGGGACGTCACAGGGTGGCATCTGCACGTCTCCGAATCCCAGCTGCCATCCGCTCCACCACCATAAGCCCGGTATTCAGGAGACTAAGGCAGGAGGATTGCTATGAATTTAAGACCAGCCTGGGTTACATAGTTCAAGACCAGCCTGAAAGACACAATGAGATTGTTTCAAAGCAAACAAACAAACAAAAATACAATGAAAAATAAAAGAACAGGGCTGGGGAGATAGCTCAGCAGTCTAAG